AGTTGGATTTTAATCTAAAGTAATAAATTATATTAAAGTTTTATTTATTAATTAGAAATCCTAATTTGTTGACCTGAGTTCCTTACTAATGGAGGATTTATCCCACACGGTTGCTCGGAACTGAGTAGTGATTTTCTTTTTTTGAGATTAAGTGGTGCAGATGGGGAGGGATAAGTGCCAGGAGCCAACAGCTAGTTCCCTCTGTAGTCCAGTCAAAATACTATGCTTGTTTTATAACAGAGCTGTAGGAACAGTTATATTGCAATACTAGGGAAAAAAAGCTCAAGTAGTCTGTTGAATTAAGGAAACATATATTCTGGTATTATCCTTTAATACAATTAACGTTTAGGTATCCTCTGTTCTTTCAATTATGACTAATAACTATGATTAAATGAATAATGCTTAATTTATTTAAATTCTAGTTCTTGTCTAAATCTGGAGCAAATAGTTTTAATGCTCTCCTGTATATTGTGATATTAAAAAAGGGTGTGTACAATCACAAGAAAAAGAAGACCGGATTTAAATATATGAAGGTACCTCAGCGCTGGTAAATCTCCTGCAAAAAAAAGTCATGCCCTGTACAATATACAGTTTAATCAGTTACATGTGAATTAAAATTTCCATAAAACATAACAAAAAAAGAATAACATGTTTTTTCTCTATATGTCTTTTACCTAGCTTGTATAAATCATTCTTAGAATGTTATAAATAACTCTACATTCAAAACCTGCCAATATAATAATGTGTGATGTTTTGTTGTTTATATCAGGTGCATCATGGGAAATACATGCAGTTGTTTTATCTAAAATATCCTTGCCAACAAAGAATTGCAAAACAAAGGACATTCATGAGTTAAAAATTGAATACTTGTGAATTGAATAACCAATGAGCAAATATTAGCCTTGAACATTCAATTTGGGTACATACATAGCTTTGTGGGGAGGGGGGGGGGGGATTCCAGCTCAGCTTTGATCTTTATTAAGCAAATTCAGATTTACTGTTTAATGAATAACACCTCAGATATGTTGGTAAAAAAAAAAATTGTACGTAATAGTCACAAAATGAAAATTTGTACTTTCTCCTCTGTAACCTATTAGCAGACATATTTTTAGCAAATTATGTTTTTCTCACTATGCTATTAAGTTATTATCCTGACTGGTCAAATTATCTCCATTAGCTGAGTCAATCCTATCACCTTATTATTTTTTACCTAAATATACTACACCGTGTAATGCACTCATTAGTTTAACCGTTTCATTTCCTAATAGATACTTTATGAATTTTCTTTTTTCTGGCAATATTTCTGCCAGTGTTGCTACTAATAAAATCCACATCAGTATCATAATGTAAACTTCTGTATACAAGGGTTTTCCATTAAGCAGTATCAAACAAAAGGAATCTATTGAATCTATTAAACTTTTGGTCAGCATTTACCAAGCAAAGAGCTCATGAATCATGCCATTTCAGCCATTGACATTAACTAATGCCTGTGTACAACCTCGGTTTTGTGCAGAGATCTGGCACTCAGTGCTGGATTAAAAGCCTATTGGGCCTGATGCTGATGATTATGATGGACTTTCGTCAGGGACTAAACAGTGTCTTCAGACTGCAGTATTATAAAAGGGGTTCACCCAGAAGACACCTACAAATGATGGCCAATATGCAGGAAAGAAATGTGCATGAAAGCATGCAAACAAGAACATTATATAAGAAAATATATTTAATAATGGTAAAATATTGACAAATATAAAATGGAAAATCCATGTATTAATGTATGAGAAAGAAAGTGCAATATGCAGTTTATGGGATACAGGTCATGACTGCTTTGCTTGCCTGTCTAGGACATTCTTGCAAGAAAGTTATGGATTGGTCTTTGAGTTTTTTCCCTGTATTTGTAAATATTATAAACTGTTGTCCCTCATCTTTGTCTTCCTCTAGATTCCTGTGCAACCTGCCATGCCTCGTTTCTCTCTTTCTCACTCTACATTTTTCCTCACTGTTCTAGCTCCTATTTCTTTTTTTTCTTTCAAACTTGTCCATAGGTTGTCTTCATTGTCTTGTCCCTGGCTTCTTTTCTGTGTGGTTTCTCTGGGTTTCGTTTTTCAGTTACTGTCACAGCTGCAGAGTTTGCCCATGGCAAAGCCATGAGTACGGCAACTGAAGATGGACCACTGAGAGAGAGGGTTTCTGCTTTTGCTAAATGAATAGTAACCAAACTCTGGGTTTCAAGATAAATAAAAGTAACAAATAGAAAAGGCTGCGCCACATAAAATATAATAAAAGAAAACAAAGTAAAACCAAATTAATAAAACCAAAATGGTTAAAAAATTAAATAAAATAATAAAAAGCCAGGGTAAAAATAAATAAAAAAGGTATGTGTAAAAAAGATAATTGGCACAAACAAATGAGCAAATATACTTTTAATACAAAAATACACAATATAAAATTTCCATAACATGCTTCGTCAAAATACTTTTTCAAATGGAATAAACCATTCCATTTATTCCATTTGAAAAAGTCTTTTAACGAAACGCGATATGGAAATTTCAGTAGGGACTATTTTGTCTTATGTATATTTCCTATGCCTGACCAGCTATGACCAGTGGAGGAGCAAAGTGTGTTCCATTTCCTGTGGTCAGAGCAATTTTCTCACAATTCTCACCTTTCCTCCGTGATCTTGCGAAGCTTCTTTTCACTATTTCCGAACATCCTGTCATTTAGACAGAATGCCGGTGAAACTACCAAATTTTGCCTTAACAGAATAAGAACAGTTTGTTCATTCACGTTAGGATGACAATCGGTACTTTTAGGTCAGTTAGAAATTTCATTTGATTTGTGCTGCGGCTGCGATCTGTGCTGCGGCTGCATCTTGTAACTGCTTAGTATATAGCTGCCTAAGTCCCACGGTATTAGGTAGGTATCTACCAAAAGGCTGAAAGGCCAAGATTGGTCTTTCAGCCAACTTTACTAATACTAAGTAAAGATTATTTAATCTGACCCTATTCGCTCCGGAGGTCCCCCCCATTTTCATTTAAGGCCCAATCCCACTGCTCATGGGTGGGAGCCAGGGGGAGGACAATAATTCTTCTCCCCCCTTATTGCAATTTAGGCCCCCCACCCGCCACTCACGGGTGGGGGCTGGGGGTGCCACAGGCTGCACACTGTTTAGTAGAAATACCCCTACTCACGACATAGCGTGATTTTAATCTCCCTTATGCTAATGTGGGCTTACAAGGAAAAATAGACAAAATTCCCATCCGATTTTCGGATAATAGCAAATGCTCAAGTGTTTCACTGGACATGCGCAGGAATTTCACAGCGCTATATAGTGTGGGCAGATGATGTGTCCCACAGGGCCTTCATCTACCCACACAAAGATGTCAGCACTCAGGACCTAGGTCGGGGCACAAAATAAAGATTTTTAAGAAAATAAAATGGAGTGCCTAGGGTCATATGGGGTGACTAGGGGGGAAATTAGATGTAGTCGAAAGGGGGGTTTAAAAAAATGGATGCAGCCATGACAGTGCCGCTTTAAGTCTAAGTTATGTTTGACAGTTTAAATAGTTGTGGCCAAGATTTTTCCCTTAAGTGTAAATAGTTTATTTGGGGTAAAGAATGTGGGCATGCAATTTAGACTGATTACTGTTAATATGTGGAGTGTACACCTAAATACCAGTTTCAAACTGACCCCAGAATGTCATTACATCTGCACACCTGGCTGTGGCTATTATTAAGTTAAGGGGTCACTCTGAGATGAAGGAGAATTGTCCTCTACCATGTTTGGAATTCTCGACATATATGGCTAATGACACCATCTTTTCTGGATGGTGGGACAATAACCTAGTAAAAAAGTCGGGAGCATATGGATTCTGACAAAGGTGAAAGTAGAAGTACCAAAACAATAGCAAATGTAACAAAAAAGGTATGTTCCAGTGTTAACATACAGTTAACATTTTGTATTTAATTCTGATTAAAATTTCATTGCAGTGTGAAGGGTTTTTGGGTGCAACATTATCAACCTGTTACACATTTTGGAATTTAATATGATAAAAAGTGCTTAAGAATTAAAATTTGAGCTGAACATACTGCATCTCAGGTCACCATGGTGATTCAGAGATCTTGATTAGGAAAGTGCAAGTACTGCAATCACTTAAACTTTACGAGAGTGAAAAAACAAGATTTTGTTAAAAAAAAATTTTTTTGCAAACATTAAGTGCAATGCATGAAACATCATATTTAACTCTGAACTTTTTACAACCTATCGGGGAAAATCATTACTTTGATGGAGAGAAATACTCAATGGACCTGCCCTTGCCAGCAAATAGACTGCTTGAAGGTGTTGAAGAGCACAATACATATTTGTGTAAACCATTCTCTATGTTACTTACACAGAGCCTTCTATTTAGTAAGTGCAGCCTTATTGCTATTTAACAGATGTATGTTGGTGCCAGTATTCAAACTTACACAGCAAGGTAAGGAAGGACTGAATAAATGAAAGAATGGAAGCAGTCTTTCAATGTAGCAGCAAGCGCTCAGATACCATTATACATTGGTTCATTGTATCTGCCAATGTTGGATATTGAAATATAAGCTTTTAAAGAGTTCCCTATAATATGTGATTCAATTCATGCAAGAGTTTTTCTATAAAATCGGGTTAGATTTTTATCCTCTGAATATTTATGTGTACAGCAAGATTAACCCCTTAAAGACACAGCTTCAAAAGCTTGTCTTACACTTAAGGACACAAGTAATTTTCAAATATTTTGCTGTTTGCGTTCAACTGCAATTTGCATTTTACTATTTTATTGCACCAACACATATTATATACCATGTTTTAAAGGACAAAAAGGGCTTTAATTTGATGTAACATATACATATATAAATGCTTATTTATTATACAAAAATTGCAGTTTTTGCAATAATAATGTGTGCATAATTAGTGCAGGTTAAGGAAAGTAATTCAAAATAAAATTTTTAGACCAGTACATCCTGAGGCTTTTTTAAATAATGTCCATTAGCATAGGTAGTTTGCCAATTTTTTTAATTCTCCCTTTCCTGGCGATGAGACTCTGATCATTAAGTGTCAGGTACTGCGCAGCATAAATGTTGGTCTGAGTGACGATATCCCCTAAAATATCATCCCTCAAGTGTAGCTGCACTGTAGTTAGCCAGTCCAACTGAATTCCAGGACTACCAGTAAACTCTGGGTTGTCAGGCATAAAATCATTCGGTGGTTTCCAATCACCAGTGCCGTGAGCCATGTCAGGGGACTCGGCGCTTACAACAGAGGGCCCTGCAGTATCTGGCAAAGAGTCATTACCACTCTCAGAGGCAGTGTCTGTGGTTTCATAGTCGGCTGCTAAAATATCATAGGTCTCCTCAGCAGCGTACCTTCTAGACATTGTGAAGCTGTAACTTGAACTTAGTTTTTCTAACTTTTTTTATACTTTTTAAAAAAACTTTTCAAATCAATAAAATAACAAATTAAATAAAATTAACCCCTAAGCGTTAAAAAAATAATTAAAAAAAAAGGGGAAGGGTTAAAACTAATTTAAAAGTAATAAAATGACTTGTATAACACAGCTACAGTTTAAACTAAAATGGCACACAATGTTGCAGCACCGATCCGTCTCTCTCCACGTCTCTACACACACACGTGTGTGGAGGGAGGAGGATCAGAAAATCCCAGCAGCACTGTGATCGGTTTGACTGGCTGTCACAGAGATCACATGTGCTGGGACAGCGCTATTGGCGGTTGCTGGTCTGCCTGTGACATCGAGGCACCCAGCAACAGCATTAACCCCACGATCGCCGCAATCGTGGTGATGTGGAGTTAGCGTTAGTAAATGACGGAAATTTTCCCTCAAGGGTCCTTAATGCAAGGACAAGCTTGATGAAAAATTTCCGTCTTTGGTCGGGAAGGGGTTAAAAGGCAGCCAAAAGTAGTTACAATTTGCAATAAAAAGGGGTCCAACACAACTATTATCTGTCAAAATAACACAAATACAAATTGAAAGGTTGCCACAGAAACCCAGAGACGGCAACAAGCTTACCTTTTTCACAATAGACTTATAGTATTTCCAAGGACTTCATAACTGATGTATAAAAACAAGCTATTACCATATGAGGTTATAAATTTATTTTTAATGATTAAACTGTTTCCAAATCGACCTAATCTTACTAGCAATTTACAGGTCTTGTTAGTAATTTACAGTTCTGTTTGTGTTCAAAATTTCTGTTTTTTTCTGTGACCTTAATTAGAGAGCAGGAAACTTTGTGTTGGCAAATTGATCAATGCCTCATTACAGCTTTGTTACCAAGCAATCAATGCCCTGTTTAGATCAAAAACAGACTCTAGGAGTTACCCCAGGTAAAGTTGTATAACATACACAGTCTACAACTAGAATTTCTTTCCAAAAAGGTATACTTGTGATTATAGTAGAAATCTTTCTGTGGACAAAACAAAAATCAGAACACATCCAACGTTCCAGATATAATTATCAGAATGCAATTAAAGTAATCTTGATTATTTTATTAAAGAGATTGTGGTTCAGAAGAACATAACCAATACCTCTGTCTTTATATAAAAACAAAAAGAAAATTGGGGGCAAAAATGGAACATGCATCTTTCAGGAATGGTGCTGCTGTAGTGACCAACATTTATACAGATTAAGGAACAGTGCACTCATAAAATACATTGTGTTAAGCACACTACTACTTTACCATACTCCAATATTGGGGAGATGTGAAATAGTGGTGGGCTTAACATGATATGGCCATATGGTGGAACTTAATCCCCATATTGGTATGCTGAGATAGGCGAATTTAAGTAGACATCAAATTTCCAAATGTATTTTAAGAGTCATCCAAATCTGTATCTCCCTCTAGCATGTAAGCTCACTGAGCTGCATTTCAGCCTTCTAAATACACATACATACTCACTGTCAGACACACATACACTAGCTAACAGACATACACACTCACTAACAGACACATACAGTCACTAGCAGACACACACATTCACTAACAGACACGCATACACTCTCACTAACAGACATGCATACACACTAACAGACACACACAAACTAACAGACACACACATAGTAACACACTCCCTAACAGACACACACACTCACTAACACACACTAACACACACTCACTAACAGACACACACTCACTTAAAAAAAAAAAAAATTCAATCCCCCCAGCCTCACCTTTGGGAATGCTGGGGTGGAGTGGGGCTGCTGGGCGGGCGGCCGGCTGGTGACTGCAGTCGGCGAGGGAGCACTGATCCTCTTGTTCAGGTCCCTCACGCGCCGCGTAGTGATGCCGGAGCCGGAGCCGTCATATCAGTGCTCCCTTGCCACCAGCCCGCAATGCTCCGGTGCTGAGCTGGGCACCCGGCCAGCTCCTGGGCCCTCCAGGAAGGGAGGCTGGCAAGGCAACTTTTTTTGCCGCCTCCCAGAAAGTGCAGTCCAAAGCAAATACACAAGGGCTATAGGGGATTACTGACACTTGAGTGCTCCATACATGGAGGGCAAATCCCAAGGATCCAATGGAATATTTGAACATGCACACATAGTGGTTTTCTAATAGCAGTCTTTATTTAGAAACAGGATAAAGTGACATTGTTTCAGACTTGACAAAAGCTCATGGAAGAGCCGAAACATTGTCACTTAATCCTGTTCCTAAATAAAGACTGCTATTTGAATAAACCACCATGTGTGCCTGGATGTCTGTTCGAATTTTCCATTGATGAGGCCTAACAAGGCTGAAATGATTGGCTGTGGTTGCTGTATCTTTCACGCAGAGAAAGTCAGCCTGGATCTGGACAACCTTTTTGGGGCAAAATCAGTCTGATATCCAAATGGTCTAGGTTCTCTTTGTAATAGCATAAAAAAAGTTAAATCTAGATTGAGATCTGATCAGGGACACACATGAAGGGTAAGCTACATCAGTCCATTCATAGTATTCTCATGCACCCTTTTTATTCTCAACAATATTTGTCTGTAGTCACATCTTTAGTCGAATAAAATACACTCTCATGGATGGCGGATAGCAACTATAGGTATGTTTAACCCTCAAATGAAAACATTATTCAATAGAGGACTGAAACTAGAGGGCTACTGTACCCAAACTACATGATTCAGATGAAGTAGTCCAGGTTCCTTCCTATAATGGTGCTTTAAGTATAGAGTTAAGTATACTATAAAATACAGAGTACACACATTTTGATATTATACCATCTATCTTGTAAATCTACATCAAAAGGGTTTTGAAATAATATGTGACTTATGTAATTAGTTTTCAGGATTTATCTTTCTGAGACTAACATTTGTGGATGGCAACTGTAATATAGATAAACAATAATTAGTCACTATAGAAATGCTGGGTTTGACAGGTAATAAAAAAAGAATTGTCTTACAGAATATGTCAAATCCCTTTCTGAAAATATTACACCTTAAACATAATAAAAGTGGAAGGACAGGTTGCACAAACAAAAGCAGTAGAAATTCCTATATCATGATCAGTTACAAAACCAAAGTACGCAATGTTACAAAAAACACATGAATATGTACCAGTCGATCAAGAAATGAGTGTCACGTGAGCCTTGGTGTTGGAAATAATTATTAATGGAACTCTCCTTTGTATTTATGCATGCATGTATGAATACCTAATTATAGTATTTTTACAATTACATAAATGTATGCAACCTCCCCCCTCCCTCCAACTTAAAATAATTAAATTGTTTTACTTACATTTAGTCCCCCGGCACACTGGTCTCGCCATGGTTACCTGTCTTCCTCTGGCTGAGATTGTCATTACAGATGTGAAAAGGATAGAGTATATATACACACTAAAGGAATTTAAATAATACGTGAAAACTATGTGTTACCCAGGTGTACCTCACAGACAACCAATCAAACAAATAAGAGATATAAGGAAACGGCTGTTCGTTCATCTATTTCTATCTCCCAATAATAATGTCATATCTGTTTGTTTTCATTAATCCCGTCATCTACCACTTCCGCGTTGCACAAAGTATACATCATAGCGTTCCATTTGTGGAATGCACGCCGACAAGTGAAGTGAATGAACGATAATTTCCACGAGTATAAGAAATCCCTCCATCAAAGAACAACAACAGATCCCTGAGGAAGTCCCCCAATTGGACGAAACGCGTTGGACACCTGCACTGGAACTTTATATGGACTTTTGTTTTATTTTCATTTTATTTGATGTATTTGTTTGATTTTAATTACTTCCTGCTGGCATTGTGAAGATTTACCATCCCGCTACCTGGTTCCACATTGTGTGGAGATATACCCAGATTTTCTGCCTGCTTGTAAGTGCAACTTTAATAAATTTTCCTGTGATTTTACTGTACTTCACCATATGTGTCTCTCTTTCCTACATTCATTTAAGGAATTTATGTGGACTCCTATGGTTGTTATCTACCAGCTCTTCAATTTGTTTTAACCCCTGGTGTGGTGAGAAGCCTACTTTCACCTAGATTTGTGAGTTTAATACTAAAACAGTACACATTCTACTTTATTATTACTGTATTACGCTATGTAATGTTTAATCTTATTACAGGTTTATATTGATCTAATTATCCTGGTAGATTTTCCAGGTTGTATGTAATTAATTTTTTACGTGTACTGGGTGGTTTTCCCACTTTTATCTCTCTCTTATCATTACAGATGCTCTGAGCTAATACGTTACTTTAATAAAGGAAGCATTAGGGGGCCAGTGCACTTGTACACAATGCATCTTTATGGGAACGGTTTGGTGTCTTCATGCGGAAGGGTAAAGAAGCCAAAAATTGGCCCTTGAAATACTGCAGGACTCCACAAGGACCTCTTGTAGCTGTCTGAGTAAGAGCCACTGGAGGTGGCCTTAGAACACAATGTAAAAACTGTCTTTTCGCAGAAAATGCAGTGTCTGCATTGCTACGGTTGCACCGGAACCACTACATTAAGCTATAGTGGTTCTGCTGCTTAACATGTCCCTTTAATGCTTCTATTTCCTAAAAATGGCATGACATTGATTATTGGTTAGTCACTAATTTGACACATTAATGCATAACTATCTAAAAAAAAAAATCAGGTAAATAATATCTGAAGATGAAGGAGTGATCAATTTCTAGAATTAAAATAAAATACCAACATTTACAAGTTAGGGAGAATAGGGTCTGCCACAAACAAATATCATTGAGCCTTGCCTCGTCCCCCCATTTGAGATAGGTATTCCTTGAACTACTGTACATAAATGGGAAACTATGTCCTACCAAATACTTGCTCATTCCACTATCTAGAACATGAGGGCACAATCTGAAGAGTTGCTAGTAGTGATGTCGCGAACCCGAAATTTTCGGTTCGCGAACGGCGAACGCGAACTTCCGCAAATGTTCGCGAACCGGCGAACCGCCCGAAACGCCATTGACTTCAATGGGAGGCGAATTTTAAAACACACAGGGACTCTTTCTGGCCACAATAGGGATGGAAAAGTTGTTTCAAGGGGACTAACACCTGGACTGTGGCATGCCGGAGGGGGATCCATGGCAAAACTCCCATGGAAAATTACACAGTTGATACAGAGTCTGGTTTTAATCCATAAAGGCAGAAATCACCTAACATTCCTAAATCACAATCAATATGGATTGACACCTGACATATGACATATTGACACCTTGACATATGGATCGACACCTGTCCTCAGAGCCCCTGATGCACACGGACACAGAGCAGAATAGAGACTGGTCCCCCTACATAGGGTCACTTGGCAGATATGGATTGACACCCGTCCTAAGGATCCCTGATACACACTGACACAGAGCAGAATAGGGACTGTTCCCCCTACATCGGGTCACTTGGCAGATATGGATTGACACCTTGTTACAAACTGCAATTTGTAACGGGCCCTTTAAATGGCAAATTGCCCTGTTTCCCTGGGTTGTGGAGAAGCCTCTTTGCCAGCCTCCTCCCGCATGACTATGGCCCCTGGGAGATTGTGAAAATGTATGCACTTTTATTTGGTGTGTATGGCCCTTTAAGACTGTCGGTGGGCATATTGGGGCTTATGGACTCTTTATGTGACTGGTGCTGGCCCTTTAAACACCTTTTTTGGGACATCAGGAAGATTGGGACACTGCCCCTTTAAGGCCGTGTCCCCAGACTTGTTGGGGACACGGCCCCTTTAAGACGGTGTCCCCTGTGTCCCCAGACCTGGTGCAAACCCTTTGTGCCTGCCTTGCTATTTCCCCACTTGGTTCAGTAAATGGGAAATTATTTCAGCTGCAGAGACTAAGTCCCATTCGGCGATGGGACTTAGTCTTTTTTTCAGCCGCTTTTTTCAGCCTTATTTCAGCTGCAGAGACTAAGTCCCATTCGGCGATGGGACTTAGTCTTTTTTTCAGCCGTTTTTTTCAGCCTTATTTCAGCTGCAGAGGCTAAGTCCCATTCGCGATGGGACTTAGTCGTTTTTTCAGCCTGAAATAGACCGACCTCACAGCCCAAATCTATGGAACTGTTTGGGCAGGAAAATGTGCTTGCGGTCGGTCATAAAGGGACCTCCAGCTAACTTTTTAACCCCTGGATGGATTTGGCTGATTTTTGGTTATGTTTATGTTTTAAGTGTGCTGATTCCAAATATGTAATTATGAAGATGGGATGTGTAGTTTTTAAAGTTACAGTGTATGGCTAAAAACTGTATTTTTACTGCCTGTGTTTAATTATGTTAATCTCTTCCCAAACGTCATTTCGTTCAAAGTGGAGAGAATGTTAAAAAAAAATATTTTTGTTCGGAGTGTGAGAAA